TTGTTGCTCAGAAGGTAGCATACAGTGTGTTGATCTGAGCTTTTATGATGGAAAAACTGCCTGCCAGGCAAGCTACCCCTTAATTATTAATAATTCAACTTTTTTTCAAAGAGAAAGGTTTTCGTCAGAGTTACATAAATCTGTGAAAACAGTACAAAAAACAAAAATACATACAAGTGAACAGTAAAACAATCAATAGTATGAGAAAAGCTGAAATCCGTTTTCTCCCTGTGTTGTTTTTCAAAACATGGCATGACAGATGATTTACGAAGACGTTTCAAACTAAAGCAGCAAGGGTTGAATGGTAGAGGGTTATGTTGAGTCATAAAAGTGATATTGTGTCTTACTCACTGTAATTCATTTATGCTTTTACAGCGCTTCAAGGCCCTTTGGCAGGTAAAGTTGTTGTACTTCCTTTTTATTTGCTCTATTTGTTGAAGCCGTGTACTTACTAAGTAGAATCACAGCCCAACTCGTTGGATTGATGAAGCGAAATTGGCATATTAAGCGTTTTTTCTTTCTATCTTTAAGACTAAATACACTTAAAAGGAGCCGGTTGGCATTTAACCGGCATTTAATTGCTTAAGGCCACTATCCTTTTTTATAATATACTATGTTTCTTCCCCCATCAAATCAGACAGAATACTGTGACTTTCGTTTGTCATTGTCGGGCACAATAGCTTCACCCTCTGAATGCGCTACACAAAAGCGCACTGTGGCTGGTTGCACCACATAAATGCTCTGCAGCCTATAGCCTACAGAACAAATAGCATCATTGATTTACAAATAGAGTGAATTTATTTCTTGGTTGTTGCCCTTGCTTTCACCGGCAGAGAGACACATTTTAGGACAAGATATAAATGGAAGGAATCCACAAGGCAATTATTCCACCTCTGCAGTACATGGCAGCTACACCAATGGAAAAGGTGTATCAGGCTACCTTTGTCTGTTCTGTCTCAGTGAGCAGCTTCTCCAGCCTTTCCTCAGCCCGTCAAGATGCTTTGGCAATCAGAGCAGAGTGGCTGAGGCATGGCGAAGAGAAATGTACAGTGGTGGAGTGGAAGGAAATTACAAAAGGAATCAATTCAATGAGTTACCTCCCTCTATGAAAAGATGTCTATAAATCAGGCAGGTGGCCGAACCCAAACAACAACCTTTAAGAGCCTGTCCACCAATCCACAATGCATTACAAAACAAGGTACACGCCGTCATATATCTATACTTCTATACTATATTCTACACTAAACACAGCAGTGCTGTTAACCACATGACCTAAGTGCATTTTCCACTGATCTAATCCAGAATTTGTTTCATTGGCATGAGATTGCAATGCTTTATTATACCAGTGGCACAACTGGACCTTCTGTAGACACCCCCCCCCCCTCCTGTACATCTGTTCACTGAATGATCATCTTGAAAAGGGTACTAACAACAATTCCGCAACATCATCTTCACCTGTTGCCATTTCGACGTAAAAAAACAATAACACTTCAAATGAATAGCTACGTCGCACTTACGCTGGATCCTCTGTCTTCAGAGCCAGTGAACTAACGGGCCTTCTAGAGTACCCTGGAACCGTGCGAAACTCTGAAAGAATACGCCCATTGGCTACAAATCAATATATGATTGGTTGATCAAATTGTCAATCCAAACGTACGCTCTCATTCAGTGTAGGGCCAGAGCATTCTATCAAGGATATAGAATACCTCGGTTGAAGGATATTCTTCCCAGAGACCCAGAACAGTATCTGATTGGTTGCATTTTTTTCGTAACACAAAACCACTCAAATGCGTAGTGCATGGACTGAGAAAGACAAACAAATCAACGTAACACTGTAATATTACAGATCAACAACACAGATACGATTCTCATTTATTCATTTTATTTACATTTTATTAAATTGTATTCATATAATTATTAGTTTTATCTGAGTGTTCCAGGGTATTCTCTGAGTACTTTGAAGGCCCTGATGGTTCACCACTTTATTATAAAGAGGTGAGCTTTGCCAGGGTTTTCTGTAATGGTACAAGAACAAAGTGCTTCATTCCAAGAGGAAACATCCACCTTTTGAAAAATGTGACACCTATTCTGACACGACCATGCTGGCATGAAAGCAAAAATGAAGACTTATCTGTCTTCTGCTCTTTACTGACAAAAAGGCAGCACTGTAGAAGCTGTAATCATTTTTAAAGAGCGGGTGAACACCAGGTCATTGTTTCCTCTAAAAGCCATTTGTAGAGTTTATTTCTGGGATAAAGCTCTTCTTTGTGCTCTTTTATTTTTTACAAGAAATGTCAAGTCTTCTGAACAATTACTCTTCAAATTACATTCCAATTACACTCCCGGTGCCTATCACTTGTGTTGTTTCCTTATGTTTCTCTTCATGACCCTACCACCTCAAAGGATGAGAACCCTAATGGAGGTTGTAAATAAAGTAGATTGCAAGGTCAGCAGGAAAAACCAGTGATGGAATAAATTAGGTTCCAGCTCTAAAGAAAACAACAGACAAGACAACATGAATTATAACAGTAAGGTGTGGTAAAAGGGTTCTGTGACCGCAACCTTCTCCTGATTTATCTGACCAGAGAGGCAATTTAACGCTTCTCTGCTGATTTGTTATGTTCGCTGTGACCTGTCCGATGACATCAATATGGGTTGGGTGTCAGATGGTGGGCTTAAACTACCGTTAGGTGGCCATCGTGAAGCTCATTTGAGTTAGCACATGTATGTGTGTGTGCCGGCGCCACATTAATTTCCAGTTGTCTGCTGCTGATACATTTCAAGGCCACTTGAGAGATGGCGTTCAGCAGTTTATTTCCACACACACGCAGAATCAACACACACCAATGCAGCACTATAAACATTGCCACATATCCGTAGTGCATGTTGAAAAGTCAAGCCAATAGCATCACCCTGTACGTGATGTAATGCTAAAAACATGTGCTGCCAAGTGAAATAATATGTGTTTATCCATGAGTGAGCAGCTGAATGTCTAGCATGATCTCAGTCTCAGGTGTAATGGATGCCTGCCAGAGAATCTCTCTCTGTAAATCACATGGCTGCTCTTGTATTTCCTGGATGACTGGTCAGTTTCCTCATCATCTACCGTAGGTACAGAGCGAGCGACCTTGTGATGGAATGTACCCCTAACTCCGTTTGTGAATTGCATCATCTCACTGTAGTTTGGACATTATTGCATTCCCTGCTATAATAAGCTGAATTATAGTGCAGCATTTCACAATAAAAAGACATCGTGTAATTGTGAAGATACTGAGCTGTAAGGATCTTCAGCCTCTTGCAATGGAAAATGAAGTTGCATATAGGAAAAGAAAGACAGCCATGTGACAAAGTGTGTTTGTGTGTGTGAGTGTGTGTGTCCAGCATCAGTGTTACCTTGGTTACTAATTCTATTTACTAAGGATTGAATCCATTATTCAGGTTCCTCGTCTCAAAGCTCAAAGTGTGTCAGGGACAGAGACTCTGAGGAGGCAAATATTGAATATTCAGTGTTTTAATTCACACTATTTCACAGTGTTTAATAAACAACGTGTATACCATGCTGAAATATAAACTGTAATGAAAAACTGATTTTATTAAGCTATACAAAACTAAAATCAATGGGAAATGCAAACAATCATATATCTACTTATCTACTTTATTCTAACTGTGATTACATATGGAATTAAAACAAGTGCATCCTTTCCTTGGGACATAATTTTCCTGCAAATCATGTTTTATAGACACATTCAGGGCATGAAAAGGTCACAAAATAATTATTGCAAGGGAGGCCTACAGAAGCTGAGGGTAATATGTGCTGATAACTTGACAGCGCAAAAAAGTCTGAATAAAACTGTAACATGAATTACAGCCTCCGCATTCTGTGATCAGTGAAACGGCACACAAAGCATTAGGGACGCAACAATATGGGTATTGAGATATAGAAGCTTTCTCACTGACAGCTACCAGCTACTGTATTTGGTTTCTCACAAAGCAGAGAAAACTGCTGTGAAATTCACATACCGTTGCTCCTAATTCTCAGCCATACAGTGGTAGCATTTCAACAATGCAAAAAATGATGCTGAGGTAAGCAGTTGACTTGCCACTGATACATAACATAATGTGTACCTTAACCAACAACGGCCTTCATTAACAATCACTGTGAAATACATTGATTAAGTACAATGTCTTTTATGGAGCCCTAAAGTGTTCAGTATAAAATAAATAAGAAATTGTGAAATAAATGGTTGGGTATTACAGTAGGGCATTATAATAAAAATAATGATCGTTCTTATTTTATGGCATCATAGTTAACTTTTCTTCATTTATATAATTTCCATTTTGAAATGAGCTTTCCCAGTCTGTTTTCCAAGTGATTTTTAATCTCACATTATGTTTCATGACATAATTTCACTTTCATTTTGCCCCCAGCCTCTCAGCTGGTCCGGAAACGTGTTGCGCAAAATGAAAGTGACGTCCCTATGACCTGTTCTTTCTTTAACCATTCAAGTTCACGACCCAACTTCATGCCATCCCATCAGAAACTGCCAGCTAGCTAATTTACCAGTAAGTACAATTGATACACCACAGAGAGCCAGTATTAATGGCAGTAGATAACAAAACAAATGTGGCAGTGTTGTTATTAAATGATGCTTTTCCAAGGCACACAACTCTGAAGTGCAAAAACAGATAGTCTTTGTTGTGGTTACTTACAGTAAGCCAAGAGTAAGTTAGCTAGTAAGCTGGCGGGTGTTTGATGAGGGAGGCTGGGGCCATGCAATATGAAGATTCAAATGACAAAATTACACTTGATTGTTAACTGATTAACAGTTAAATTGGTAATTTATATGTTTCACTATAGGATTATTTATTTCATAATTTCTTATTTGTTCAAATAATATTGACCTGGGGTTCCATAATGTTAGAGTTCGATTTAGCTGGAGTTAGAGTGCCCCAAACCTCTAAAGCTATGTCCTCCCCTCCCCCCTCTTTCTGTGTCCCAGGAGGGCAAGTGGATGAGAATGACTGGTAAACTCCAGACCAGCAACGTGACCAACAAGAATGACCTGCGCTCGCTAAACTCCAGAGTCTTTATTGGCAATCTCAACACAGCCATTGTCAAGAAGACGGACATAGAGATCCTCTTTGGCAAGTACGGCAAGATAGTGGGCTGCTCTGTGCACAAAGGTTACGCCTTCGTACAGTATTTGAACGAGAGGAACGCACGGGCAGCTGTGTCTGGAGAAAATGCACGTGTCATCGCTGGACAGCCTCTTGGTGAGTCATTTTTGCTTTTTACTGTTTCTCTCTTTTTTGTCGAATTGCTGATGCCATCAGAAAATCATAAAGAGCCAACATGATATGTCCCTTCAGAAAACTTTTCCCTTGGACTACAGGATGTTTTGTTAAAGCCTGTTCTTCACAAGAGTAATGGATTGTCTCTCCCGGGAACATAATATGCCTTGGGCACCTTGCAGACTAGTTTAGAACCTCCCTGGGCTCCTAAATGCTGAAGTGTCTGTGCTTGTTGTCATGCTGTTTTGGAGAAAATCCCTTTGGAATCTGTGAAATGATCTACAAGTGAATATAAACGCAGTTTGATTTGAACATTTACCAGGCAGCAACTTGCAAAAGTATGTCAAAGACACACTACTAGCAGAATATGTTAAATGGCCATGGGATGTAGCTACTTATGCTGCCCAAGGATACATTCTCTACTGTGTGTACTTTGCTATGGGTTTGCTTTTGTGGATGTTGACTATAAAATGTTTTCATACACATTTGTGTTGCTCAATTGGAATTCATTTTGTATGTGAAATACATCATCTCAGGCCTTTTTTGTGAAGCTTTGGAATTAGATTCAGCAGTGCTCATTTCTAGACACTGCTTATTTAAAACATTATTTTAAAATAATCACGACTGGATGAATCTGCATGCAGGCAACAGACCTTTTGATTAAAGTATTTTAAAACGTGTTTGGTGTGTCAACTAAGGAAGGGTTCAGAGTGTTAAGAGTGCAAATATCACTGGCTGTCAGTATACAGTTAAAAATATCAGCGTATGATGATACAAGGGATCATTGCATGATGGAAGTTAAGTGTGGATGGATTATTATTTGAATGCTGAATACGTACAGAGTTGATATTTGGCATCAGGGATCTGTCGTAGGCTTTTCACAGCAGTGGTTGTGAATTGATAATATGAATTAAGGGAAAGGAGACTCAAAACCAACAGTGGGGTGACAGTGGATGTGTGGTGGTTGCAACTTGTTTGGTATTTTAACCAGGGTTAGGGTTAGGGTAAGTGCTAGGAAGTAAAGAGAACAAGGGTGTTAGTGTATTTAAATGTAATCTTGTTTTCTTTGAGGCCCCGGCTCCACGAGGACAAATACGGCAAAACGCATCGGAGTAACGCAAATGCAACCGCAAAAAACCTTCCGTCCCCACGCAATATACACCGGATTGTGTCAAGCTCCACGAGACGGCTCCGTTTACATCCAAACGCTGGAAAAGCTGCAGTACATATGCCGAACCTGTACGTGGCGCTGTAACTTCCTCCACAAAAGCAGCAACTTCCTCTACAAAAGCAGCGAAGAAGAATGGTTGTCATGGCTTCTGTGTATTCTCCGCGGTGGGGGCCGACAGAACCGGGCAGAGTTTTTCGCCGGTCAGCGTGTGTTAAAGTTTAAATCTTCCGGACAAAATTATAAAAGTGCCGGTCAAAGGTCTTCATTGTTATTTATTGAGCTTTAAAACAAATGAATAACGACGATATAATGATATATAATCATCAAATACACGGAGGCTGTCTCTTTTTCCTCTCTTCTGACAGCGTCAGTGTCTGTCTCATGCAGCAGCTGATCCTGTAATGAGTGACCCGACAGTAGAAATGAACATATTTATAACTAGTTTAGGTAGTTTGAGAGGTAATTAAAATAGCTAAGGGTGATGATCTGACTTGAAGTGTGTGTTTTGCTCCCGCTGCATCACAGCGGCAGGAGCTGCGTGTCTCCGTCCTGTCAGATTAGACTTCACTCGCGTTTATGTCCATATCGAGATAAAGATAAATAATCTGAATTCAAGGAGGAGCTCCTGTAGATGTTGCACAAAGAACTGTAGCATGGTCAGTAGCGACTGGAGCACGATAGCAACCCTGCGGGGGAGAGGCGGGGCTATGAAAACGAATGACCGTATAGGCGACTCCACGGCCCCGTTGGACCCCCCAGAGCGCTCCGTTCCCAGATCTATCCACCTTTGGACCCGTTGTCGTTTGCGGGGTCTGTTTCTACGTTTCCCTTACGGCGTCGTCGAGCTTAGAGGGCTATACGCATGAGAAATATGCGGATTCAACCCGTTTTCGTCCTCGTGGAGCCGGGGCCTGAGTTGGTCAAAGAGAGCTGTATGTGTTGGATTTATTATGTTAATGTCTACAAGTTTTTATTTGGCATTCATGCTTTGGCCACTTCCCACGTTGAAACAGCAAGCTCCACACAGCAGGGATTAGTGAGTCATGGTAATACCTTCCCCCCTACAGGTGGACACTACAGTTGGTGGTTAAGTAAATGTTGTTGACAAATAGTTGGCAGGCATATTAATTAGTAATATATGGCTTTCCGATCTGAGGGAAACTAGACCCCTTTGCACTTAAATGATTCAACGTCTTTACATTTATTCCTGGTATCAATATGTATTTTAAGTGTTTGCACTGAGTAAGAGGCTATCACTGTCTCAAATGGCTGATCAAAGGCCTCAAGAGTTTGCACTATGGCTTAGATTATAGCAAGATATTGTCTGAAAATGCAATGCATATACTGTACACAAAACGTCCCTGACAATATACAGAGGTGGTTTGGCCAATTGGATTGCAACTAGTCCTAAATACAAATGACATGCATCCGTACTTTCAAGTACTCAAGCACTATTACAATCCGGTCACCCAAAAAACAATGAATACAAGGGGAACTAGAATGTTCCGCCATGGTTTTGGTATACATAGTTCCTTCATGGACATTTCAGCAGGACTCTTGTACCATGGCTTGAAGCTTATCTTTCTAACAACTTCTACATTCTGCCACTTCAATATACATTATCCTCAGGGCGGTATTTTGGGGTTAGGGTTGATAATGAAAAATACAGTTTTCACACAAGAAAATGAACACAACCGGGGGAAACAAACTCAGTTAAAGGGCATTACCCAGTGAAAAAGATATTCCCCAGACTGTTAACTACTGTGTTAATGAGCATTAACTCAGCTCATTAAATGGTTATTAAAGGACAGGTTAACGGTCTTCTTTGTATTCCCAGAACACATTAATTAACCTAAACATAACACCAGGCAACTGACTAAACTGCCTCAGCCTCTTAAAAATGCCATTTGGCCAAGACCCTGCTTTCACATGGTTTAAAAATCCTTATTCGACAAAGTGGCCAGCACTGATACAATTGTAAAATAGTAGCAAAAAACATTATGATCTAATCACTAAAACCACTTGCGGAGGTATCTTTTGTACCGTAAATGCTAATGCTTCCTTAGCATCCTGATGACCCACAACAACCCAGTTCTATTATCTCTTGTTGGTTTGATTTTAGGAGCTGGCTTAATCCACAATGTCTGAACATTTCCAAAAGCCCAGCTTGCAATTTACACATATTCTGGGTGATTCAGTTTGCCTGTAACATATAGAATCAATCAAGACACTTTTGAAGATGCATTTATATGCCAGGTGTGAACTTTCCTTTGCAGAGCTGTCCGCTTGGGATCAAAACACCAAAGCTACAAGTCAATGCCAGATGAAAGCAATTGGTTTGCTTTATTTGCTTTTTTGTTGTTAAAAAGGGTAGTGTGCATCAAGGCTGGCCTTATTGGTGTTTAATGTCACCTTTTCACCAACTAATGGGATGTTCACTCTGAAATTTTTTTTTCTGATCTTATATCCCTGCAACAATGAATAAAGCATGGTAAAGAAAAATCTAAAATTGCAAGTAATGATGAGCTCTGTATGCCTGATTAAAGGGTGGCTAATGTGCTTTTGCTCTTTCAGTCTTCCATTAGTTTCATATTTGCCATTATGAATATTGTAATCAGCGAATAAGCAGAAAAACAGTTATTAAAACCAAGACCATCATGGTAGAGTGCTCATTTTGGCTCTGACCAGGTCAGAGCCAAAATGAGCACTCTACCATATCCAGAATAATGGTGTTAGTGATGTATGTGTTTCTTATCTACAATTCATAAGACTCTCATTATGCATGATTTCTTGTTTTTGGTTGAGAAAGCACACATAATCAAAAATCTGACACCATAGTTGAATTCAAACCGACTGTGCAGTAAGGCAACACTGCCCTCAGTGATATCACTCAATCTACACGTCATGGGACAAGAATAAGTCTTAATTGACAATCAAGGACACCCTCAGTCTCCTCTCAAGCTGATGCTTTTTATATTACAATGGCAGATGAATGGATCAGCTACATAATGATATCGAGTTTAGTAAATTACCTCCACAAAGTATCTGTCCTACTGTTTCACCTCAATTTCAGGGATCACATTTGAGCCGTGTTACTGGTGGAGCTGCATTCAGATATGTTGGTGTTTCAACCACCGTTGGCTATTGGGATCATGAGAAGCCCGTATGAAATGAAGCATGGCATTTTGTTACGGAGGCAGAGGTACGTTTGAAAATCATGGCTTTCTGCTGGCACTGGAAAAGAGGTCAAAGGAATAATCACATCGTTCTTCGACTGCACGGACCCACCTCAGCAGCTCAGAGGCACTGGTGATGACTTATCTGTGCACTCAAGTGTCAAAGGTCAAAGCCTGCCACCTCCACAGAAGATAAGACTATCACTCTGAATCTGTGTGTATGTGTGTGTGCGACTGTGGATGAAAAAAAGCTGATAAATGAATGCAAAAATGATATTATAGCACAGCTGGCATCACCTTCCTCCCCATGCCACTAAGTGGCAAAAAGGGGATGCTCCATTACCCTATCAAATATGAATAGGCGTTCACGAGATCACATCTAGGATTGTGAGCACAGCAATCATTACTAAATAGCAATGCTATTCTGAATGGCACAAGTGCAATGTCTCTGTGCATTTCCTGAGTTACAAGCATGAATAAATCAGTCTTAAAGTACTCCGCATGAACACAGATGTTGCATTTTGAGTCTTGCAAAGCAGAAGTGAAGGATATTTCCTCTGTTGTCTCTTTCACAGCGGTGCTGAAAACTCAGACAGCGTTCCAATTAAATCCATTAAGTAAATACATCTGCATAG